TTGTGACACTGTCCCTTATCAAAGGACCACACAGTTGTTCGCCACTTTGACTCCATGATGGATAGTTATCTTGAGGCTTGATGGACGTAAGGCTAAAAGTTCAGAGGAAAAGAGTGCAGGATCCCAGTAGCTCCTTGCTATTGACACTTACTTGATAATGTGGGTTTAATCAATCTTCTCTATTGTCTTTAGCTTCAATTTTGTTTTCTTTTCCAGCTTCATTTTTCCCGCCTCATCAAATTGACATGCAAAAAAAAAAAAAAAAAAGTTTAAAGAGAAAAAAGACAAAAACTTCTGTTGTTGTGAATATACTGGAGACAGACGCAGACCTATATACATATTCTTTGTACATAACATTTTCTGTGCATAACATGTGAACATATATATTTAAGTTTTAATCCAATGAGTGGTTGGAGAAAGAAAAATAGATTTTTATGATTAAAAGTTGAATAATAATGTTTACCTTGAGGAAAGATATTGTTCTTAAAGTATTTTGTTTGCTTATTTTAGTGATCAAATGATTTTATTTATTTTAATGTTTATGGACATGATATTTTAAATTTTAAGTTTAGCATACAGTACATGAAGCCCATCTGACAAGGAATGAATAACCAGAATATCTAAGGAGCTCAAACAACTCTATAATAGGAAAAAAATCTGATAATATCATCAAAAAAAGGGGAAAAGATTTCAATATATTTTGTTTGCTTTTGAGAAGCAGCACATTATCAATTATTGATCATTCAATTTTACATGTTTCCTAAACATTTTCTTTAGTTTAACATCTAGTTTATTAGATATTACATTGAAATAATTACTTCTGTATCTAAATATGGTGAATTTTTATTTGGTTGTCAGAGATTGACAAATTAACTTAAAACCCACTGCTTCTGCCATGCCTGCATTCTTCAAACATAGAAGAATAGAATGGGGAAAGTCCCTGTGTTTTTCATGAACTTTTTGTTTGCTTTAATTTTTATTTTCCTTATAAATTCTGGAGTACATGTGCAGGATGTGCAGGTTTGTTACATAGGTAAATGTGCCCCATGGTGGTTTGCTGCACCTATCAACCCATCACCTAGGTATTAAGCTTAGCATGTATTGGCTGCTTTTCCTAATGCTCTCTCCCTTCTCTCGCTCCACCCCACAACAGGCCCCAGTATGTGTTGTTCCCCTCCCGTGTCCATGTGTTCTCTTTGTTCAGCTCCCACTTATAATTGAGAATGTGCAGTGCTTTTCATGAAATTTTATTTCTCCACTTAGTATATGGGATGAATGGGAGAAATAATATACTTCTTACAGTTTTTTTTTAGTATTTTAGAACATTTTTTGTCAGCTTTATTGAACTATAACTTACACAAAATAAAATTCACCAGTTTTGAGAGTACAATTTGATGAGTTTTAACAAATGTATACAGTCATATTACCACTACTAGAATCACGATATGGAACATTTCCATTACCACCCCAAACTTTCATCATGCCCCTTTGTAGTTTTTACCTGCCCACATCCCCTGGCTGCTGGTATCTACTGAAAAATGTGGATGACTGTACATATTTACATATTGTCTATGTACAAATACCATGCTAATCTTCTCTGTATTATTGCTATTGTGCTGCCCATGTGAGTACTTAAAAAGCTTTTAGAAGTGAGACCATGGCTATATATTAATTTGTTATTATTTTGTAGCATTCATTTAGTAAATCTTCTAAGATACTATTTCTAATAGTAAGTTGGAAATACACTGTCAGCCCTCTCAGAAAAGAAAAGTCAACAGTTTCATGCCATGCACAGCATAACATAAAGCTTGAGATACTGCCAGGTCTCATGTCCAACTTGCATCTCTTTTTGAAGCATTGAGGTGTTAATTAATAATTAGATTTACTTAGTCATCTAGTATTTTTTTCTTAGTCATCTAGTAATAGTTTCGTTGCTGAACCTTTGAAACGAAAAGTTGATTGACTCGATGCCTAAGTTAACCACTTTGTTGTATATATTTTTTTAAGTTTGACGGCACAAAGAACTGATGAAATACAGTTTCTAAGTGTAGAAGAGAAAAGAAAAGCAATTTAATTTACTCTTCTTCTGGCTTGGTAAAGGACTAAAAAGAAGGAAACAATAAATGTGTGAAAATTGCTGTATGTACCCTCGGCTGACAGGTTTTTTTTCTTTTTTCATTATAGGTGAAGAGATTTTAAGTGTAACAGCATTGTTCATTGTGTACAAATACAAAACATTCTTATTGTTGGACATTATCAGTACACATACACCACACTGTGTAGATAATTTTAGTCATAACGAACATAGCATTTCAGTTATTAGACTGAGAGGTTTTCAACTAAAAATAGGTGAGTATAAATGAAGCCAGAATACATGTGTGTGCCCATGAAATTGGAAATGAATGAGAATCTGCTATAAATACTATGTTGTGCTCATATGTTAAGGTATGATTGTACCATTTAGTTACTTGCAGTCATTTGTGTCTGGCTGTTTTAAAGAAGTTTTCTACTAAGAAAATATTAATATATCAATATTGAAATGTTAATAATGTATGGATATTTTGCTGATGTGTTAAGGTTTATCATATTGCAGTAGAGACACAATTGTTTACAGTGTAGATTTCAAAACAAATTTATAATACATCACTTGCAAAACAAATTATGTAATGAAAGATGGGGAGCAGCTATGGAGTGAAAGCAATGATTTTTGAAAACATTTTTTTTAACTTCTACGCATTATTATTTTACTTCTATCTGTTTACCTCTTTCTATTTATAAGGCATATCCTCCAAATAATCCCTAGAGATTTACATTCTTTCTTTGGCAAGCACAAACAGAAAATGTCAGCTACACAAGAGTGAGAACCTATATTACCTTTCTGGAGTTATTTAGAAAATGAGTGAAATTTAATTTGCATTACTCTGTGTACATATTCTGAAAGAGCTTACTCCCTGAACCTCAAATCTCTAAACTCAGGATTTCCTAGTGATTTGAGACTTATAAGAAGCTCAAAGTGTCTGAGAACTCCAGAGAAAGCCTACTCTTATTATTTTCTCATTAACATGCAGGAGCCCCAAGGGATACAGTTTTATACAGAAAATTTTTGGATAAATATCTGAACTTCTGGGCATATTTGAACCCACGTTATGAATCGTGCACAGTTCTGTCAACTCTAGTTAGAACCCAAAGTATGATATTTAGCTTCTCATCCGTATGCCTCTTTTCCAGAGTCTCTTTGTCTTTGCTTTAAGCACATCCAAGCTCAGTAGCACACATTGTAATCAAGCTCAGTGTTGTAAAGAATGAAAAATATTGAAAGGTGAACGTAACTGCTAATATTTCATGCAACACCTGCCCTCTGTAATAGGACTTGGCCACCCAGATCAGCAGCAGGGGTGTGAGCTACATCTGTTCTTCCGTCGCAGTGTCTTTCCTAAACCGAGGGGTTGTGCCTGTGGTTTATTGCTGCCACATGGTTGGCATTGTTATTTCATAACCTAAAGCCCCTTCTTATTTCCTGCTTTGCCCCTGAAACCTTCACTCCTGCATGTTTTCTTTCCTCTTACCCTGATTCTTTAACAGCTGAACTACATAAATGCCAAACAGCGACATGAATTCCTAAACAGAAGCTGCCACAAAACAACGCTGCTCCAACCAAGAAACACACATGTAGAGGCACATGACTGACAGGGCTCAAAAGGCAGGTTTTAGTAAATGACAAGTGTGAAGTTCGCATTGTTACTGTAGTTGATGGTAGCTCGTATTTACACAAAAAAGTCATTCACATTTCAGAACAATTCAGCATAACTGGCAGCTTGGGAAAGAAAAGACTTAAAATCCCTTAAAGATGAGGAAGACAGGAGGAGTACAGAATCCAAAGCATTCTCTCACTTTGGAATATGTTGGCATCTTTTGATTGGGTTTTAAAATTGGGATATTGGAGAAGCAGCAGGAAAAGTTGAAATTATAAATTATTTTTGTTATGAACAAGAGAGAACAAGAGAATGAAAAGAAAGAGCTGTTCATCTTTTATTTCTTCATAGCATAATTTCATTCAGTGTTAATTAAAGTCTAAAAAATACATTGTCTTTTTATATATGCTCACTCTCATTACTGTAGGAATACCTATGGCATCTAGAAATACAGAAAGGAAATATCGCGGAATGTTGATCTATTGTATGTGATCAGTGTTATGGTAATTGCTAATAAAATGTCATGAAATATATCATTTGAACATTGCTTTTCATCAGTTAAAACAATGTTATAAGGTATTATCTTAAGAAAAAAGCATAACATTATTCCATAAATGTCCTATAATTCAAAAGTACAGGTGTTTAAAAAAAGATTTCTTTCCATTAGTACGGTGGGTGGTCTACTGACCAGTAGTGAAAGAAAATATAGTAGAAGCCAGAATATTAATGTGCTAAATAAGGACAATGTCATCATCAAGGGTAAAAATTATGTACAGTCAGATAAAGTACAGTGACTGAAGGGAGACCTTTGAGGAGTGCCATCCTAAACTAGTGGCATCAGTCATTTTGCAAGAGTAATCCATCTTAGACTTGGTTCAGAGGGGTATAAAGAAAGGACAGGTCCATGTGGTGACCTTCACTCTGTTCAGAGCTAGGATGGTTATGAAGATGTGATCCTCAGCACTAATGAGGAGACTGTTTATGAGATGACCAGTGAGATTTTTATTTCTTGGTATCCAGCTGTAAATCAGCATTGAAAGAATCTTTGCTTCCATCCAAGTATCTAGAAAATAACAGCTTTGCCATGTAGTGGATACAATGCTTTTAATATATCATCTGACTTTGAATTGTTTTAACCAAAGAAGGTCATAACATTTCATTAACACTGTCTGTTGCTTTTGTGACAGTGGTTCATGATTTGTCAAAGGGCAAGCTGAATCTAGCTGTAATTGGAAGAGTATCTTCTTAACGAAAATATTATAATATGAAACAATCAATGGAAAAAATCATAAAAAATATTCTGTGGATTTTAAAATGGAGGGAAGAAAACATGTCTAGTGTTTTCTTTATTGCTTTAAAATGCTTCTATTCAAATAGTAAAAAACTTAAACTGAATCTCAGAAAGTACCAAATCCAAACTTTTCATTATATAGTTGAGAAAATGAGCTCAAAGAGGAAGGACAAATGCTTATACTAGTATGACCAACTGGTTGGTTGTTTATATAATTTCTTTCTTCTTCCACCTTGATAGTTAGGTATGACCTCGTGATGAAGTTCTACTCAATAAAAGGTGGGCAAATGTGATGCACTCCACCTCCAGATGGGGCTCATCAGAAACTCTCTGTTTGATCCTCCAGGCTTTTTACCTGTCTGTTGAACTGAGTGAAGGACCCAGAGGCCCTATGATGTGGTGTAGCTTCAAGAGAAGGAAGCCTAGATCCCTGAATCATTGTGGAGAGCATACTTATCCTACACTCATATAGGACTGTAAGCACTGAAGTTATTTCTTAGGTTATTGCACTTTTGAAGCATATCTATTACGTTAATTAGTGTTACCTCAATAAAAGCATGTACATCACAGAACAAGCTTTCCTGTACTTTTTTTTTTTTTTGGTCAAAGAAATGAAATGTAAGTGACTGTTGCAACACCAGGAGAAGGAATACTTCTGCCAACTGCCTAATCACTAGCCTGGTCCTTGGAATGGTGAATTTCATTCCTCCTTCTTGTCTGTTCCTTCCACATCTCTCAGGTGTTCCTTCCTTTGTAGTCTCACTATTAGAACTCTATTCTGGACTTTATCATTTCAAACTTCATTGTAGCAAGAACCTCTTAACTGTCTCTGAGCCCTTGTATGCTTCTCTTTTATTTCTTTCCATATGCTAACGTAAGAATAATCTTGCTTAGGGGTGGATCACCTGAGGTTGGGTTTCAAGACCAGCCTGACCAACATGGGGAAACCCTGTGTTTACTAAAATTACAAAATTAGCTGGGCGTGGTGGCACATGCCTGTAATCCCAGCTACTCAGAAGGCTGAGGCAGGAGAATCACTTGAACTTGGGAGGTGGAGGATGTGGTGAGCCGAGATCACACCACTGCACTTCAACCTGGGCAACAAGAGCAAAACTCCTTCTCAAAAAATAAAAACATAATAATCTTGCTCAGGAAAACTCGAATGGCTCCTATTTAAAGCAGAGGTAAGTAATGAGAGATCCTGGGATATCTATGGCCTCTAAACATGTTTTGCTTGGCTGATGAGATGTGCTTATGCTTTATTTAACTTTATTGCCAGTATTTAAAAATTGAGATAGTAAAAATCTTAGATTTCTGTACTCTTTTGACAAATTATCTGGTAGCATTGGGTCACCATTCTTGCAAGAAAGCTATCAGCTGGAGGAAAGCATGCACTCTACAGTTTGCCCTCATTCCCACATGTATTATTCAGGGTTTTCCAGAGAAACAGAACCATAGGATGCATGTATATATCACATGCAGAAAGAGAGTGAGTGATAGTGAAAACAAAAAGGTTAGGGCATGGGAGGTTATTACAAGGAATTAACTTTTGCACTGTGGAGGCTGACAAATTCTAAGACCTGCAGTCAGCAAACTGGAGACCCAGAAAAGCTGAAGGGGGAAGTTCCAGTCTAAAAGTTAGCAGGCGAGAATGACAATTATTAGTAATGAATGAAAGTGGGAAGTGTACTAATTAACCTATAGCAATCAAGATGAGTGAATTTAGGACAAATGTAATCTATTTACCATATTAATTTCATTGAAGTAATATTTGTTTCCCTCTTACCATATACCAAGTACTATGCTAAGTGCTTTGTGTACATTATCTCATTTAATATTAAAGCAACTCTTTGAAGGAATTACTGTGATTACCCCCATTCTGCTGAGAAAACAGGTTTAGAGAGGTTAGGTTTTGTCTATGGCCCCAAAGCTAGGACATGACTGAATTGGAATCCAAACTCAGGCAGACTGGCTTCAGAGTCCAAGATCTTACTTAAACATTATGCTAGACTGTCTTCCCAGATTTACGTGTGTTTTATAAATATGGCAGAAGATGATAAGTAAGTCAAAATTTCAGTGATGGCAATAAATACAGCAAAGCAAAGAGAGTAAACTGCAAAGTGAATAGTCAATGTTGTTGTTAAATCAGTGGAATTGAGTAAAATTCAGGAAATTATGCAATACCAAAGTAACATCATAACAGGAGATATTAAAAAATACAGCACACAATCATCAGCACAGAAGTTGGGATACAATAGGAGAAAAGATAGCTGAGATTGGGCGAAAACTCATAATTATAGCGAAGAAGCTGTTGCTGTCTTAGGTAATTATGTATTATGGGTATACAGTTTCTGTTGCATTGGTTCCCAAAGATTCCCTAATCACTTCTATAAACAAGCCAAACACATTGAGGCGTAATACCACGCTATGAGATATTACAGGACTATTTGGCACATTGTAGGTGCTCAACAAAGTTTTGAGAAGGAAGGAAGGTAGGCAGGTCGGCTGTGACCTCATAGAAAATGAAGAGAGTAACATCAGGGTTTTTTTTTTTTTTTTTTCCCAGAAAAACTTTTTCAAATATAACAGGAAACTATGATGAGAGGAGGCTTGGCTTTAATTTGTAGTGGTCCTACAACTGACAGTCTAAACATTAAAGAATCTAAATATTGACTACTTGATATTTTATGATATCTGGCTGGCTAGATGTGACTGATATTTTGCTCTTTCACAAATGTTTTATTTTATTCATCTAGCTCAAAAATCGATATTTGACCTAATGTGGACACATGTGGGAAGGAATGTTATTATGTTGCCTGGCAGATGAGTACTAAAAATTGCAGAGAGATATGAAATATTTTAAAAGGGCACATTTTTTTCTCCACACGATATACCATGATTGATTGTTGCCTTTCCTTAGTCCTGGGGAAGGAGTGTTGTCTCTAGCTAATTATTGTGTCTTTTAAAGGCCTGTCTTGGCAAATTTCTCTCCCCTTTAGCATCTATCCCACAAAATTTTTCACTAAAGAATTCAAACAGTTAAACATAATATTATCGTGTTTCCTGAATAATATAGTGTAGCACAATTAGATATGCTACAGTGAGATTGTCAGTGATGTGGTCACAGTTTGGACTGGATGGAAATTTAGCCTCTGAGCAGTAAGATACAAGGTCTTGGGTAGTTTTAGTGGTTAAAGCTGCATCTCAACCTTTCTACGTAGTGTGGAATCCAACTGAAGTGCTCAGTCTAAGAACATTTTATACCTTATATTATTGAAAGCCATCATGATAAAAACTCAAGATGCCCATTTATTATATATGTGTATATAACATCAATGTCTATGTGTACATACACATGTGCATATGTATGTATGTATATTATTATGAAAACTTGTTTTCTTTCCAACTGATTTAGAAAATAGTAAAATGTAGACTTGGATCTCTGTAAACAAACTGGGATGAGAGTGGGTGGGCATTTGTTTCTCTGCATTCTCTGCATAAGGGGCTGGATACATAGTAATAGCTTTACTTAATAATAGCTCTTTCAATATGCTGAATGATTTCAGTTAATTAAATCTCTATGTATCTGTCTATCTATCTACCAGTCATCTAATCATTAGTTCTGAAAGTTTGGTCTGTGGATTCTGAGAGGGGTCCTTTTGACTTTTTAGGGAGACTGCAATGTCAATGCGATTTTCACGACAGTAGTAGGATGTTATTGCCTTTTTCACAGTGTTGACATTTACACGGATGCTGCAAAAGTAATGATTGGGAAAACTGCTGAAATCTTAGCAGAAAGACAGTGACACCAAACTGTAATAGTAGATACTGCCACACACTTACAAGAAAAATAAATTAGTTTCTTCTAAATACTGTCCTTGGTAAAGTAGTATAAATTATTTTATTACATCTTTATCCTTGAGTACATAACTTTCTAACACTCTGTGTGACAAAATGGAAAGTACATGTAAAGTACTCCCACTGCATCCTGATATTTCAGGATGTCTTGAGGACACGTAGTTGTGCTGTTGACTGAGTTGCAAGTGAATGGAACACCATGTTACTTAAAATATGGCTGAAAAATACACTATGGTTAGTTAAGACTTGAGTATTTGACAAGTATTTTCTTATAAATAAATTTCATGGAAATATCAAGTTCCAGCACCACTTGTTAAAAAGATTTGCCTTTCCCCCATTGGATTGCTTTGGTGCCTTGATTGAAAAACCAATTATCTGTATAAAATTGCTTCCAGTTTGAATTCTATTCTCTATTCTGTTCTATCAATCTATTTGTACATCTTTATGCCAGTACTATTCTGATTTTTTACTGTAACTTTATAGTAGGTATTAGAATCAAGTGGTGTAAGACCTGCAATTTTTAAAATCTTTTTCCAGTTGTTATGGTAATTTGTAGTCATTTGCATTTTCATGTAAGTATTAAAATCAGCTTGTAAACTTATATAAAAAACCTAGTAGGGTTATGATGGAGATAGAGTTAAATTTATAAGTTAATTTTAAAAGAATCACAAATATTAAATCTTCTAATCCGCAGGCATGTTAATGGCCTTCTTATTTATGTCTTCTTTAACTTCTCTAAGCAACATTTTTTAGTTTTCAGTATAGTCTTATATATCTTTGGTGAAATTAATTTCTAAATATTTTATGCTAATATAAATAGAACCATTTTAATACTAAATTTCCAATCATTTGCTCCTAGTAGATAGAAATAAAATTGGGTTTTATACATTGGCTTTTAATATGAGACTTGCTAAATTCACTTGTAAGTTAGTTCCAGTAGTTTTTTTTCTTTTCCTGTTGATTCTTTAGGACTGGCTGTGTAAATATGCATGTAATCTGTGAATAGAAATAGTTTTATTACTTCTTTTTCTGCCTTTGCTTTTCCTCACCTTTTTGTCATATTACACAGGTTAAGACCTCTGGTCCACTATTGAATAGTAGTTGTGAACGTGGACATCCTGGCCTTATTCTCCATCTTATTGGTGAAGCACCCAGTGTTTCACCATTAAGTATGTTGTCAGCTGTAACTTTTCAATAGATACCACTTATCACATCAAGTCATTATTTTTTAGACGTAACTCAATTTTGACCCAAAATGTTATTGCTTACTTATTACTTAAATTTGTCCTAAATATATTTGGATACTTAAAAAAAACCAAATTCATGCCCAAACAATGATTTGACATTAAAGGTTTTTAAAGAATAGTTTATTTAAGATTGGTAGCAAGGCATGTCTTTGAAGAGGAGACATGAAGGATTAAGGGATAGAAATGAAAAGGGACATAAGTTTCATTGTGTATTCTTTTATATGTTTTGAGAATGTCATTATATTCATTTACTATTTATTCAAATGACATAGTCATATGTAATCTATTCAAATTTCCATTTAATGTTACTTACATACTAGCTGTAAGGGTAATTGAAAAATGCAGATTAAAACATTGGAAAACAATTTGGC